TGTTCCTTGTCCCCCCGCGGCCGATTCGCCCCCAGCAGGTGTGGGGCTGGTGTGGGTCCCCAGGCTGCATGCCTGCGCTCCCGCGGTGCCCCTCCCGGCCGCAGCAGTGTGGTGCAGTGCGAGTCACAGCCCTCACGGGCACCCAGCGTCGGCAGTCAAGCACAGCCACAGCGTAAGCTTCCCAGCAGCAGGCTCCGGTTTGAGGTAAAGGAGAAGGACAGGGAAGCTGCTGAGGATTTCCTAATATAGGAAGTGGAAGCCTCTAGTTAAGAATTCACTCTGATAGAAACAGGTAAGAGGGACACTGGTTTTGTTTTCTCTCAGCTTGACAGGTCATGCACTCCTCTAGCGTGTGCTGTCAGCAATTGAGGCAGCTCCTCACCGACCTGCCTTCTGTTCACTGATGCTGGCCACTGCCTCCAGTGGCAGCAAGTAGGACGGGGGGCTGATGGGGTGGAGTTAGGCATGTTTTTGTGTCCCTTCAAGTGTCCAAATTACTGTCAACTAGAAAAAAAAAGTATTGCTATTCATGCAACTTGTGCCTCCAATAATTTGCATCAATTAAAAATCCCAGTGCTTAAAATGAGCGGTCTCTTTGAACCCACATCCTTGGATAACCCGTAGAAGTCAGTCACAGGTAGAAGGAATAGTTTAACAGAGCAAAATTGAAGGGAACACAAGTGCATTTGCGGTCAACTTCCTCATTTATTTACTTGCATATATGTACAGTTCATACTGCTTGTCAATCACGGGTGGGATGTCAGGGTGTTACATGCTATTTGCTCATTATATGGCAGTCACAAAATACTGTATTAACTAGCACTTGCCTGGACTTTGATTCGCTGGTTGTTTGCACCCTCAGTTCTGTCAGACCAATGTTAAGAAGGCAGCATTGATTCTAAGTTCCTCAATAATCCTAAACTCCCAGGAATGCTGGTTACACTGTGGGAGAGGCAGAAGTTTCTCCTTTCATTTACCTAATGAAGAGCTCTGGCTCGTGAAGATCAGGTTGTTGGAAGTATTCTGTTTGATTGGGGCTGAGGGTGAGAGGGAAGCCAAAAGTGCCACTGATGTGACAATAACCTTTCTGCTGACAACAGAGTCCTTCAGCCTGGAGGATGGGAACCTGACCAGCTTGGAGGAAGTCAGGGAGAAGTACGTCAAGAGGCACTTCAGCAATCACAGGTAAGGGCTTATACCAGTCGAGGAAAGATGATAATACTGTGCTCTTGCTTCCATCCCAGCATTTCTGAACCTATCTGTCGTTACTGAATTTCAAAGCAGAGGCCTTTCATCGTGAGGAAAAGATGAAGAGATTTCACCTGGACCCCTGTAATCCTGTACAGCACATGAACACTCAAGGCATGTTGTTGGTCTCATGTACAGCCGTTGCTTGCAATTCCGTTCCCTTCTATGTAGTTCATCTCCACCAAGAACTTCTCATTCGCCTGCAGAGCAAAAGGAGAAGGAGAAAGCTGGCTTGGGAAGAATGGCCCTGGTGCCTGGAATGACCATGACAAGTGCCTTATTAATCCAGTTAAGAAGTTGTTCATGTGGCTTTTTTCCCTGTGTGTTTTTTTTTCAGCACTGCATCAGCCTCGGAAGCTGCGAGTGAGAGTGACTCTAGCGTCTGGTATTCGAATCAAGTATGTGAAAAACAAACAATGGAAGAGGATGGGAAGCCAGAATTTATCCAGTCTCCAGACACTTCATCCCCAGATCTGGTGGAATTTGAGCGGTACGTGCACCCCCTGTTGCCTTCAGTCTTTTGATTTGTTTGCATTGGCACCGTGCATCCAGTTGCTGCCGTTGGTGCAGTGCTGTTGGAGCCTGCATCTGCCTTGCAGAAGCCTTGTGCCAGTAACTTTGGCCCTCCTGGTGATGAAGCTGAGCACCTCCCAAGTCCCTTACCTGCGACCTGCATGTGAATTGGCTCCCTGCATCGTAGCAGCCTCCGGCTCTGCAGGCCTTGGAAAACCCCTGAGCATTTTCCACCCGTCCTCAGGAAAGAAGAAAAGAAGTCCTTCAAGTGTGTCAGTCCCTGTGTGGCCATGCTTTACCGCTGCCCACATGGCTTGCAGAGTAAGATGCAACATACCTGCTAACAGTAGTGGTTTCACAGGCAAGCTCAGGTGGAGTAGAAGGTTATTTATCCAGAAGGATTTATGCAGGTGCATGTTCTGTGTGTTTCTGGTATCAGAACCACTATCAAGTTGTATCCCTGCAATAGGGCTAGATCTTAGGAATGTAGGAGTTGCTGCACCAGATGAAATTCTTGAGGGTCTAGCTGTATATGTTCTGGGGAGGTGCAGGAAGCAGAGGTAGGCAGACACCATCCCCCCCAGTGATGTTCATCCTGCCTCTAATGACATTGTTATGAGGAGATCGAACACCTTCCAGAAATAGACCCTTAGCTCCTGGCAGCTTGGAGTACCTTTTTTGTGGGATCACAGCAGGGTAAGGCTGGATGCCACCAGGAAAGATCCTGTGGTCCTCAACCTGCGGGCTGCAGAATAGCAGTGGTCTGGAAGAGGACAGCACTCCTCAAAATGCGTGCAACACTGGGGGAAGAGGGGGAACCTAAACATGTGTGTATTATACTTACAGCTAGTGGGTGCGAGTGTAACCCCCTTTAGCATTAGTTCCTACGTGCCTGATGCAGGATCTAAAAATCGAAGACCACTGCCCTTCTGTCAGTGGTCCATGTATTTTAATCTGGGATTGTAATGGTAAAATTACTGGGGTTTTTTTCAAATTTATTGATATCTTAGACTGAGTACATCATTCATCACATTCTTCCTCTTGCTGTCCAACAGCAGGAGGAGGTACTTAGGGGTCATGGATGCTTTTCCAAAAGGATAAATGATCATTTCATTGTAAAGATTGGAGAAACAGATGGATGTCTAATCTATTGTGTGCCATCAAGCAGAGTCTATTTTAGCCTAACCACTCCAGAGTTAAGAATATGAGGTGCAGGAGAATCCACAGCTGCAGCTGGCATCCTTGTCCACCGCCATAAACAAAAACCTCCGCAGTTCCTTCTCTTTTGCTTTGAACTGGTGCTTGTTTATAAAATTCCCTTGGATTACCGAGTTTTCCATCAAGACGAGCTTGCGGCGGTGCCAGCAGATGGCACCAGCCTCCTGCTGCTCTTCTGGCTTGTGGGAGTCGGAGGTGGCTGTAGTACCATTTACAAGCCTTTGAAATGTGCTGAATCGAAATTTTCGGGCTCTGCTTCATCAAAGACTGCACGGCAGAGCCGTGAACAACAGACTTCCTCTTCTTCACTGAGCAGGTAGCCCAGGGCCTGTACTGTGTGGACTCTGGCACTGAATCCTGCGGTCTCACGGCAGGCCGCGGTTGGTTCTCCTCAAAAGATGATCTTTAGGGACTCTTTAACAAAGAAAGTAACAGCTTTTTGGTGATTGTCTAATCATATGATTTGGGCAGCATCAGAAATGCTTTGAGCTTCAAAGGACTGGGGATTTTTCTTCCGTGTCCAAAAGCAGGAGCTACAGTGGTAGGACTGCACAGTACTCTCTCCAGTGCAACATGTGGTTGCTGGGAAGGAAATAGTTCAGTCTTAGTTCAAGCTTAATTTCTTTAGCAAAGCAGTCTAGTGGTAGTTCATGTTCTGTTTGAGAAATTCCAGTTTGGAGCTGGACATCCAGCATCGTTGGTGAGAGCAATCCCTTACATGAGAACTCTTTGTCCCCTTCAGTATTTTGTCTCCATCAATGATGGAAAATACTCCAGATTATGGAAACTAGAGTTTAAAAAAGTTTATGCTTGCGTGCAGAATTATTTTAAGATTTCCAATATCAGTTTGCTGTAACAAATATTTGGGAGGAAAAAAAAAAAGACTGAACTCTCTTGAGTTACTTTTCTATGCAACATCGTTCAGTCAGTCAGGAAATGTGCTTATTTGGGATCTCATCCAAAGCATCATTTTGAGCCCAAACTTAGTAACAATGACGGCTGTTTAAGAACTCTGGATCTGTACTCCTTTGATCTTGTTATTTTCATCTGAGAAGCTCCAAGCATTTAATTAACATGCTGTTTTCCAAAGTAGCCGTTACTGTCCCTGCTTCACTGTGCCGCAGAACGCTGACAGAAGAAGTGGGCTTGTTCTGAGATTCAGTCACTGGATTGAAATTACCACACTTACGTTCTGTTACCAGTTTCACTGCAGACTGCATAGAAGTCAGTCTTAGGGATGCATTTCCTCAGATGTAAAATGCAGGAAATTGAGCTCCCATGCTTATTTAAGTCGGAGCATCCAGGCCACGGGTAGTCTCTTTCTATCTGCATGTGTAATACCTAATACATCAGGATATGACCTCAGCCAAGGCTTTTAAGTGTAGTGTGATGCCAGTAAAAGTATAAAAAGTGACTTACAGCACAAAAGCCTCAGGATACAAAGGCAAGTAACACAAATTGTATTAAATGCCAGAACGAGGTTTGCCTGTGCAACACGTAGGGCCTGCAGTGCCTGGAGTGTTTGTTGTGAGGCAGCCCTGCTGAGGCTGGGCCTGCCTTTTGCAGATGAAACCTTGGCAGAACGGAGTTGCTAAAATCTTCAAACAGCATTGGGCAACCTTCAGTAATTGAATGAAGTCTTAGAGGGGGGAAGTCAGTGAAGTAGTTACGAATCAGAGGTGCTCCCCAGACTCCTGCTGACTTGCAGTAGATGGCTGCCTCATAGGCTGCTCTTAAGAGATGCTCCCTTTCCTTCCCTTTCCTTCCCTTCAAACTGAGTTTTTATAAGCACACAGTGGACCTGGTGATAGAGCATGGAATTATTTGCGCTGAGGCGGTGCCTCTTCCTGAGGTCTCCACAGCTATTTCCCACCTCTGGCAAGAGCTTTCTGAAGAAAGGAGAGACAGCATCTTGCAGTACTGTAGCCAGAGAGATTTCCTCATGGATCCTAAGGCTGCTTGCCAAGAGCCCGCCTGCACTGAAGGTAGCGTGAGGGACAGCCAAGGTAACAGTAAGGAAGCCAGTGGTTCCTCGGTCTCCACACCGGAGGAAGTAAGTGCTCAGTTAACAGACATCTGCTGCTGAAAAAAAAAACTTCAGTTACTCATTGGCTCTGCAGCTTTTAAGTGCAAACATACAGTAGTTGTAATTAAGCTTTCCTAAGACCACTCCAGTGCATATGTGGAGACAATAAGCAGCCTTTGAGTAAATGTCTGCTCCAAATTGTCCCTTGGTAAGACACACAGCAAGCTATAGGAGTACAGTGGTAGCAATCCTGCTTGTCTCCACTGACCTGTAGAGCTGTGCTAAGCAACAGTTAAATTTGCTCTAACTTGCTGCAGGAGGAGGGAGCAAGAACAAGAATTAAACCATTATTGTGCTCTGCAAACTCTCCAGGGAGCACAGATGAGCTAAATCCAGAAGGAATACCCAGTTTGCCAAGGCCCGCTGTGTTTTGGGTTGGGTGGGTGGGGTTTTTTTTGTCATCAAAGCACTTGGTAGCAAAGAGAAAAGTATTTGTAGACCGGTTGCAGTGGTACAGGGCTAAGGACTGCCTGTGCCCTGCAGAGCCGAGAAGGCAGTGACTGAGTAGACCAGGGCATTTGTTAAAAAGAGGTGAAATAACTCTTTGTAAATTGTTCCTGGAGCACTGATTACTTAAGCAACCAGCTGCTCAAAGGCATGTGTGTGATTTTATTAGTTGCAAGGGAGGGACAGGTGTCTACCTTTAGCATGTAAGTAACTGCATCGACAAGTTCTTTTTGAATCTCGGGACACAACTGTCATTGCTGACCTCTGCAGGAGATGTCATGGGGATGTTGCATGTGCATTCTTTTCTGGCATGGGAAGTGTGTGAACTGCATTATGACAACTAACGAGTTTTATCGGGCTGTCACAGGGAGCGTTCATACTCCTTTGTAAGCCACGTCGCACACTGGAATCAGATTTGGGGGGGCTGGCTGGGACAGCTGAGATATCTAGCCATAAGCAGCAGTTCACAGTCAAGTCTCTAAAGCACTGATGGTTTTTTCTGATTTTTTGGGAGATGTAAGGTTAAGTCTAATTCATAGAGATTGAAGCACAGGCCTGAAGGAATGAACCAACCTTTTGTTCCTAGTCATGAAATGCAGTTATTCCCTATTATTTGTGTCTCCACAAAACCCTCTTGGTTTCCTCTAGACGTAAGCATACCTGTTAAATGGAAAGAAGGAACACCATGCTTTTAAAGTCTTCATTATTAAAAATTATGCCCTAGGTAAAACTTACAGGTGGCTGGATATGTTGACATCTGAAGTGTTTTCTCTGGTAGGTAATGTTTGAAGATGCGTTTGACATTACTGCTGGTTTCCTTGACAGAAGCGAGAATCAGGGAATGTCTAGCCAGAGGTAAATGACAAACTCACCCCGTTTGCTAGGCAGAGTAAGTTAATAGCCCACGGTCAAGACTCCACAGCAAACTTGCTGAGTAAGGCAATAGCTTAACAGCCTTTTTTGTGCCTAATTTTTATTAAGTGCTTAGAATAGGAGCCTCTAGCCATTGTGCTCACAAGAGTACTGTCTTCTAAGGTGCAAAAATGTAATTATTAATGGGCATTTACAGCAGAATCAGTAAGTCGCTTATCACTTCACCCCATCACTTCAGGATAAGTGGGGTCCTTCTGATTTTCTTCACCACTCTGCATAGCCTTCCATATTTCCAAATTAAAATATTTGTGATTTTTTTTTTCCTTTTCTCTCTCTCTCTCTCTCTCTGTCTCTCTCTCTCTCACTTACCAGGTCTATGAGGACCATAAAGCATTCCCTGGATGTCAGCTAATCATAAACTGCACTGTCATTTAATGAGACAAAAATGATCATTTTTAACATTGTCTCCCTTTTTCAAGTACCCTAATTCAACCGCAAGGAGGTGATCAAGCTAAAGTGGGGTTGACCTGAACAGTAACATCAAAGAAACACAAGACCTATTAAATAATAACATCTCTTTCCTCTGCAGGTCAAATGAGTTAAAGAGAACATGTCAGATACAAAGCTGGCACTGCCTTTTATTTTTCCCAGTAGACCAAAGAGAGAAAAGGGTTGCTTTCCTCAAGAGGAAAATCATATTATGACTCATTTTTTATGCATTCTTGCTACTTAGCCTTCATTAGGATTGTTTCTCTTTGCAAATAGTGTTTTTAATCTGCTTTTTAAAATCCCATTTTCTACTTATTTTTCCATATTTAGAGTTCTGCAGTGTGAATCTCTTTCTCTCTTTCACCACTATTCCACCTTGCACTTCCAGAACAGAATGAAAGGAAATAAGGTTGTTTTGGCTGTTGATCAGAAGACGTAATAAAGCTTAACAAATATCTATCCATTAAATGGCATCTATTAGGTCACAATTGCTGTTTGCCTTTAAAATAAAATTAAATATTCCTTAATACTGCAATGTATTGCCATCATCTCTGCAATCTGTATTAGGTCCCAAATCAGATTAGTATTTCAGCAGTCAGTGTTTATCCTGTTCCCTTCCTTCCCCATCACTCTTGTACCTTGTAATTCTGGACAGAGGTGTGATGGTAGAACTTGTAAAACCCCAGGGAGAATACAGAGGTAAGGTCCAGGATTAGTATCTTAGCTTTTTGCCAGAGTTACCTGAGTACAAACCTGCCAGCAGTCTCTGATCTGTCATTTTGTGACCACACATTACTGCATTCACTCAAAAACTTTACCAAAGAAGTCAAAGCTGTTCCTCTGAACAGCCCAGCAAAATACACTACCAAATAACTATTGTTGCTCTCTGTTGTAATGGATATATACTTTTCCCCAAAACAGTGTTACTATAGCTGTCCTGTATCAGTGGATCTCTTTCTTGTGATACTGGTTTCTGGTATTGCTGCTCTCTGTTCTTGTGTATCTATCTTCCTTGTATTTGTTCAACAATATCTCATCAGTACGTCCACCTCCGCTCCTACCTGTCTTGCCTGGCTACTGCCTTTAATATCAAAATCATCTTGAAAACAATCTGAATCTTTTTTAATTTGTAAGTAAAACGTGGAGGAGAGAAAGTAAGTAGGAGGAGAAATGAAGGAACGGGAAATTAAATATAGTATCTGGTTCCATTTTCAGTTCAGCATCTGCAAGCTGCACTTCTGAAAATCCAGAGGATCACCACAGGCTCTATCTGCAGATCACTGACTTCCTAAAAAGCCTCTTCTTTGACAATACACAGTTTTGCCAGGTAAGCCTTGCAAAGGATTCCTTCTAGAAGGAGCAGTGTGTGTCTGTCATTGTCAGAAAGGCATTTCTGTTTGCTGTGCTTCGGAGCATCGTGTCCAGACTCATTACAAGCGACAACTTGGGATCCATCACTTCAGGTGTGTCATTCCAAAAGGTCAGTAGGATTGCCTTCGTAAGAGGCAAGGGGTGAGGGGTTATTATTGCTTAGAATATTATTCAGAATGGCAGATGACGAGGAATTTTTTGTTGTTGTTTGCTTGAAAGTTCCTTGTGGAAAAGCTTGAGCGATCTCATCTGAGCAGGCGATGCTCACTTCGCAGTTCTCCATTACCCCCCCCGCCGCTTCCTTCTGAGCTCAGTAGGACCAACTTCTGCTTGTCTGGCTGCCAGGTTCCCTACCCTGAGCCCTCTGCTGGTGGCCTTCAGGGTAGGGTATTCCCTTTTTCTTGAAAGAGCTGATGAATAGCTGCTGAGCTGCCTCTTAACCCCGGCCTGCTGTGGCAGGTTCGCTGAGCCAGAAGTGGTGTTTGCCGTCTTCTTCCTCCTCTTCTTGCCTCCTGCCAGGGAGGTAGCTCAGAGCTTGCACGTGGGTGGAGGGCTGAAAGGCAGACAGCCCTCAGCTTGAGCGTGCATGTTTGGGCTCAGCATCATTTGTACCTCCACAGCAGGCACCGTTCTGCTGTTTTCTGTTGCCTTGCTTCCAGCCAGTCTCTGTTAATTGAGCAGATGCTCTTTTGAAGGGAATAGTGTTTGTGATAAGAGGTAATGGGGACAGAAAACAAAGCAGAAACTAGTGTCGCACCACTGTCTGATTCTGTCATGTAGTGACTGCCGCCTGCCAATTGCTTTCCCCCCTCAGGGAGAGAGTGGCACTAGAGGAGGTGCAGAGAATGGCAGCAGGCACAGCAAAAGGCATTAAACAGCAGCTGCTAGAGTAGGACTTTTCTGCAGAACAAAAGACTGAGGGGTACTGTGAAAGAATTTTGATCCGAAATGGTGTGGATTCGGTACACAGAATGATTACTCGTCGTGTCTGACACGAGAACAACTAGAAAGCACTCAATGAAGTGAACGAACAATATATTAAAAAAATATTTGCAGGTGCAAATTACCAGATTTACCTCCTGGGGCATCAATCCATTGACAGTTACTGAATCTGAAGGTCCAGGTACAACTTCCAGCTCAGAAGGCCCTCACAGCACGATTTGCCATAATGTGGGAGCTTACATTGTAGAACAGAGCACACCGTTGTCTAAATGCAGGATTCTTGCACTTTTTGTCGAAAGAGCCATTCCTGCCTGTTGTCAGAGACCAGGCACTGACCTGCACAGCCTTTTGGTCTGTGAATAGCTATGATGCTCTGCTTAAGGGCAGAGCTCTTCCTGTGTTTATGGAAATAACCATGAACTGAGCCCGCCTAGAAAAGACAGAAAAGCTTTGAGCAAGCCACACTACTTTCAGGTTTTCAATTTCCTTTGTGGCTCTCAGGCCTGGCAGCATTAGGTGATCCCATTTTGTCCTTCTGCATGGTGCTGCCTTGTTTCGTGTGAGCCCAAGTCCATCTCACAACTCCCAGATGAGGTGGTATGAGAAGAGATGGTGTTTCAAGCCCGAAAGAGGGACGTTTGATATAAGATGACCAGCATGGGAATGATGGGAAGACAGGCAGCAAAAGAAGCTGAAGTACTGCAAACTGGCAGTTGATGGAGCTCTGTGGATCCAAAAGGAGATAAAAGGCTGCGCGCGCTTCTTTTATGCAGGGACTCTGAGTTGTCTGTAATAAGACAAACAAAGGGAGTTTGAACAAAATCACCCAGGCTAGAGAGTACCGATAATGGGAAGGTCACAATCTGTTTTGGTTTAGATAACTGCAGTACAGCACATGTAGTGAGTCCTGCCAAGAGATTAAAAAAAAAATACTACAAGAATTTTTTTGTTTTGAGAGCAGAAATTCAGCTCTGTCTCAAAAGCAAACAGATCGAGGGAGTTAGGGAAGTGGTTGCAGAGCGGGGGTAGGAGATGTTCCAGCTAACTTGAAACACACCAACTCAGGCAGCAACAGAGAGCTCCTTATTATCTGCACAGCTTATCCCAGAAACCAAGCTACCAGAGCATTGGAGACTCCTGGACTTGGCAGGGAGAGGAGCCCTTCCTGCTTACCTGACCGAACCCCTGCACTTTTCCTTGATTCCTCTTCCCTTGGTGTATTACCTGTGCTGGTGCTACACCAGTCCAGGAGTTTGGGCAGTGCTGGGATAAATTATCCCAAGGATTTATCCAGCACACACCTTGTAGAAGATACAGAGGTGGGCAGCAGGGACAGTATCAGGGCAAGGTGTGCGATGTGCACCTGACGGAACTAGGAAGGGCACCCAATGGTCTCCTTTTCGTTCATCTGCCAAGCTGATGAGGTGATGAGTTTTACTGTTGGTCATTACATGCCAGGGCTGTGTTATCCTCTTTCTGCTTAACTGTTCAGGTATGAAGTAGCGTTGTTGGGTTGTGTACGTTCGCCCTTTCGTAGCCAGGGATCCCCTGAGTGCAGCTCCTTGTGAGCCATGGCCCTGGCTCTCAAGGCTGCCAAGGGCACGCACCCCACTGCTATGAAATGCTTGAGAGAGACTCACACAAGAGGAGGGAGGAAATCGTTTGGACAGGGAAAGGGAGGGCTCTTAAAAGCCCAGTGACCCAAAAATGAGAACAGGAGCATGCTTCCATGGCACGTGGTAGAGAAATATTTCTGAGCATGAGATTAGTTAAGCAATCCTGTCATTTTTCAAGAGCTGTTGTCTTAAGGTCACATCGTAAGAGATGCTTAGCAGCAAAGGCAGTAAAGAATTAATTTAGATTGAGATCCAAAGGTTTTACAATATCTAAGTGAAAGTCAGTGGGTTTTTTCTAAATAGCACTGAGTGCCTTTGGATCTTCAAAGGCACACTTTCTTTTAAAATTATGGATTTTAGATGAGTCACTTGACAAGCGAGTGGGATTTAGTGCTCCTTAAGCTATACATTTTTTAAACAGCACCTATTTTTAAAAGCAGTCTTGCCCTAAGGAGACTTTCATCAGTGCAGAAGGTGGACTAGATGGACTGCAGGCATTGAACACTTTCATCTCCTAGGCTTTGATTTCTCAAGAGCCGTTTATTCTCTCTAGGCTGGTGTAGGAGAAGACCACTTCCTACTGTTGCTAACAGAGCAGCAAAGCCTGAAGTCAGCAGAAGTTAAGGGCTCGAGGAAGCTGTCATGCTTTCAGAGCCTGTTACCTGCCCCACTTGCTACCACAGTCAGTATCAGGTGTCTACACGATGTAAATAGACACAGAGTGGAGCCCTGTGGTGTTAGAGAGACACTGGACATCAGCACTCGACCAACCTGCTCTATATTTGACACATGATAGCTCCTGTGGTTTTTAATCCTGCCTGACTTTTTTTTTTTGGGGGGTGGGTGGGACGCTTTCAGGGAGAAGATCTTCAGTTCGATTATGAGACTGTGATGCTGAGGTGCACTGAGACCTTCGACGATGAGGATTTCTAAGCATTGCCTCTGCTTGCTCAAGTTTTGCCAAGCACTGCCGGGCACACCGGGCGCGTGAAGAGTCTGCACCTCTTTCAGTGAAGCACCTGTCTGAGCAGCGTGTGGAGACACAGTGTTAAAGTGGTTCGTTACTGTTGACTTTCCGTTTCCTCACCAGTGCTTCTTGATATACCCGTTGAGCAACTTATACGTTTTAAAAGTTCCAGGTTTTAGATATTTATAGAACTTTAAGAAATACTTCTGTCCGTTGTTTTTTAACGTTTAGCCTAATTTCACAAGTCAGCCGAGGCACGTAAAGTGACCTTGCCTAGCATAAGCTGGGGAGGAGTGGCAGAGAGGTCCCGTCAGTGACAGCCTGTGCAGCCCCGCAGGATACAGGTCTCAAACTGCAACCTCCAAACATGGCAAAGTGCCTGGCACCCTGGCAGGGATTACTTTCCCGGTGCAATTTTTCTGCTCAGGCTGACAAGGAAAGAGGGATTTCCTCTCAGAGAGTGAGATGAGGCTCTCCCATCTCTTTATGAGGACAGCAGCTGTGGTCACCCACTCCCAGATCACCGGAGAGGTGCAGGCACAATAATACGCTCTGGATTATTTACATGTGCAGAGTATGTATAGAGCCGAGCGATCAGCCCTCTGCTCCTCTGCCACGTCTCATGCTTTGATGAGTAGTGCTGCTCAGAGAGTGCCTTGGAATAAAAACTGCTGTGAAGATGGATAAAATCCTTCACATCTCGGAGCTGTCATTAAAGGCTTTCTGCAGGCCTGGACAAACGGTGTTCTGGCAGTGGTTATGCTGAGGTCATTGCTAACACTCACTGTAAACAGAAAGGCCGAACGTTTTATTTGAAAATCTCAACTGAAGTTGGCATCTCCAGGTATCCATCGGTCTTCAGCAGCCAGGCTTTTTTTCAGGCTGAATCCAAGAGGGCTGGGCTGTGGCTCAGCACTGCCTTGGCGCACAGAGCGTGATACGCAGGGCCGTGTTCCAGCGAGCGCATGTGGAGAGCAGCGCTGAAGTACAGGGGGAGTGTAGTTCCTCCAGAACACTTCCTGTCCCTGTGGTTGAGGCTGTGGTAGCGCTCCCAGGTGGATGTTTGCCAGGCTGCTGTTTGCCTTTGGAAATGGGGGTGGGGGGTCCTAACTGCAGATCCTGTTTGGGTTTAAGAGCCATTCTAAGTTCTCCAGGATGCAGCCTTGCCTTTCCCTGGGCTCTGAAGTGTGCTTCAGGTGTACAGGCTACCATTGTTTTGAGGCTATAAGCAATGCTGTCTTTTATTCCAAAATGCCAAGCATAGGCATTCCCTGGGCAGGCTGGATTTTGGGACACATGCTGGTTGACATACATGTACAGACTTTGCAGGGGAGCCAAGGTCAAATCATTCTTTCCTATAGCTAGTACAAGAGCTGTATGTATGCACCTACAATAATAATAGTTTACATTGTGTTCTGCCTGTGTTTTCTTACCATTCTGTTGTTCTGGGGGGAAATAGCTTGTTTTTCTCAGTGTTGAGGCTACTTATAGCACCTTCCAGTAGCTGAAGGGGGGGCACAAGGAAGCTGGGGGGCACTTTTTACAAGGGCCTGTAGTGACAGGACAAGGGGTAACGGGTTTAAATTGAAAGTGGGGAGGTTTAGATTAGATATCAGGAAGAAATTCTTCCTGGAGAGAGTGGTGAGGCACTGGAACAGGTTGCCCAGAGAAGCTGTGGATGCCCCAACCCTGGGAGTGTTCAAGGCCAGGCTGGATGAGGCCTTGAGCAACCTGGTCTAGTGGAAGGTGTCCCTGCCCATGGCAGGGGGCTTGGAACTAGATGGTCTGTAAAGTCCCTTCCCACCCAAACAGTTCTGTGATTCTATGAATCTGTGATCACCAGATCTCCTCGGCTGGAGCAGGAGCATTTGCCTGGACTTCCCAATTAGCTGTCTGCCTCCCTGAAAAGCTGCAAGCAGGGTGACCCCACACCTGTTGGGAATCAGTCTTGCTGCACTCAGGACACAGCAGTAGCACCAAGGCTAATAGAGCTGACAGGTAGCAGGCCAGTCTGCAGGCCATCCAGAACAACCCTCGGGTGTTTGGTTTTACACTTGAGGATCCTCTGATTTTCATTAAGTAGCAAATAAACAGAAGCTGTGTCGCTGCCGTGCACAGCCAAAGCGGTTTCCAAACCCCAAGTGGCCACATGCAGCTGGGAGCAGTGTTGGCCTTGCAGCCAAACCCAGCCCAGTTGGCTTAAAATTCAGAAATAACTCCTGGGGGCAAATAAAAAGATATTTTATAAATAGATAACAAACATACCGGAGGTGAAATTTTAAAGGACATTTAGGAGCCTGATCTTGAAATCGGAATATAAACAGCTTCTGAAAACTGCCTCTAAGCCTTAGCAACAGCAGACCCAGCTGCCCCAGACCAGCACACTCCCCCCACCTCAAGCTGCACCTCCTGGGCAGGATGTGCAGGGGTAAGGAATGACCCCCCACTGGGGATTGGGGCCCCCCTCATGCTGTGAAGTCATGCCCAGCTCTACTCCAGGGAGCTTGCATGCCAAATGCAAGATGGGGACACACAGACATGGGAGCGGGCTGGGTGTGCGGAGGATGGTATAACAGATGAGCAACGTTCTCCATCCTTGGGGTGGGGAACAAAAAGCCAACTGAAGACTGATTTTTAGAGGAAACCTGTGCCAGTACTGTTTTCCTTGACAAGGCTAAAGCAAATACACACCTCTGGCACTTGCCAGCATCCTAACATGTCTTGTGAAGAGAAGCAAAAAGATGTGGCTGCAGCCTTCACAGAGCTGACACAAAGCCAGTAAAACTATTGAGGGTTCCCTGACTCGTGCGTCCCACCTTCCCTTTTCCATGTGGGATCCCAACCGTAGCACTGAAGGAAGAAATCTCACGTGGAAGACGGAGCATCCGCAGGCTACGTAGTGCAGCAGGTTTTGGCCTTGTTGGCGCTTGTGTGCCTCGCTCCTTAGTCGCATCTCCTGTTCCCAGCGAAACCCCTCCGCCAGTGAGGACGGGGACGGGGTGATGCAGACTAACAACACGTCTTCACACACGTGTTACAGCACAACCGAATTCGAGGGGGCTGATGAGTAAGACCATGGGTTTGTCTGCCAGATCCCCAGGGAATATAGGCTGGCTCTAAATGACCTTAGAGACAGTCAAACATGTGGAGGATGAAGAAGGTATCAGAGCTGAGATGCTTGGGACCGGTCGCCTCTGTAAAAATCTGTGATTGGCGAGGGGAGGGGCATCAGATATCCTTAAATGTGCAAATCACTTTTTCTCCCAGAGACATCACCACCACAATCTTCAACGGAGGCACTCCAACCTGCCCATAACAGCAAACTACTGATACCGTAATGTTCCCTCCTTTAGGATCCCCGTGCTCACACAATTGGTCTGTTCAGGCTTCATTCACCCCCAAAGCGAAAAAAGGCCCCAGCATATCCCTTACCGGTAAATCACACGGCGCTACAGCTGCAGGACGGGACTGAAGGACAGGACAGCAACAGGCATGAGGAATAACGGCTTTCCACTGCATCCACCCAGGTTTTGGTCAGTCTTGAGACAAGAGAGCCCAGGGGACATCGTATTGCAGCCTTCGGTTGTCCAGCGGAGGGTACAGAGGAGACAGGGTCAGACTTCCCGCAGAAGGGAACGGTGGCACAAGTGGCAGTAGACACAAGGTGAAGCACTGGGAATTCCACTTAGAGACGAGAGGAAAAGCTTTTCACCAGGAGGGTGGTCAGATGCTGCAAGAGGCTCTCCGTCTGTATGTAGCTCAGCTGGACACCCTCCTCTGCAGCCTGGTCTAAGGACCAGCTCTCAGCAGGGGCTGGCCCAGATGACCTCCGGAGGTCCCTTCCAGCTGAATTACTCTGTGATTCTTTGCATACTGTCTGCCACTCACTATGGCAATCATCACCCTGAGGAATATCATCACACTGTACATTTTATTTACTTTTCCCTCAACATATCTCAGTAGAAAGCTCAATGAAGGAAACACAAGCTCATGCTACAGCCACAACATTATTACACACCACCGGCAACCAGCGCCACATGCAGTCACATTACATATGGCCATGTAGGTGAAGGCTGTTTCTGCTGATAGGGAAAGCGGCAAGGATCTGCAAACCATTTTCCAGAGAAGCGGTTATCACCCCGCAATCAACACACCAGACCAAACAGGTGCGGAAGGGGGGGACACAGGACATAGCAGTAGTAGGGATGCATCAGATTGCGAGCACAAGAGTTTTCTCCTTCATCTCTGTAGGGTTTGGTGCCCTGGGGAAGCTGGCGCCCCTGAGACAGCTCCCAGAACCCCAGGCAGGATTCATTTCAGTGAACCTAGGGTTTTCTGTTAGGGTGAAAACCCAAGTAAGGTCTCTAGATTCCCTCTGCAGTCTCAGGTGAGAGGCATGTTCGGAAGGCAATCCATTCCATTAACCTCAGATTCCTCTCCTACGACGACGTTCATTTGACTGACTGACTTAGGGGAACATGGAGGGAGATGAATCATGACCTAGAGGTGCCCGCTCCATCCCCTTGGCCAGGATGAGGTGTAAACCACAAGCTGAGAGGTGAGCGTTGCCCTTATGGATCTTGAATTTCAAGGGGGGATTAGCCTGAGCCCAAGGGATGCCTGGGAGTGGTGCGGGGCCTGCATCAGGGAGGCGTTTGCCTGTGGCCTCTTGAGCAGTCGGGACAGGGGACAGGAGGAGCTCTGCTTCAACTAAAAAGCTGTTCCTTGGGGTCCCCAAGGCTCAGTGCAAGGAAGGAAACTGAACATCTTTCCCAAGCATTCCTTGGGCTTTGGTGTTCCCCAAAGAATTATGTTCTTCCTAGAGGAGGGCAGGCAGGAGCAGAGAGGAGAAAAATGACTTCCTCAAGGTCACCAGTGGTGCAGGGGCAGAGCTGGGAAGAGAAGGACGTTATCGTTCTCTGCTCCAGCCTCTAAGAGCTGCCAGCTCACGTTCAAACGATGGGGGCTGCAGACATGCTTTCCAGAGGGGAGTTTGCCTGCAGGCCGGGTGCTCATATCCTTGTATCTGCACCTGTCTCAGAGTCTCTCTCTGAGCTTGCTTTCACACTGCTTCCCTGTCCAGCAGCTTTCCATTTGTCCATTCCCTTGCCGCCTGGTAGTCTTTTGGGGCAAGCGGGGAGATACCGAAACCAAGAGACAGCGCAGCGTTTGGTGCCTATGCCAAAGGGAAGATCATAGACCTTGGAAATGAGCAGAGAGTTGTCCGCCTCTCCCTTGTGGCTGTTCTTCCATGCCAGGAGCCCCCGCTCCTCCTGCGTTCCTGCAACAGCAGAAATGAGATGGTGGTGTTTAAGAATGGGTGTTCTGAGCAGAGCGTGCGCCCCGCACCCGCTTCTCAGATCCCAGCAGACCCAGCACCGCATACAGATCCCTTGCACTTAAACCAGCTCCAAAGCTCTCCAGGGTAATTCCCTAACGAGCTTCTCAACAACACCCGTCTTCCTGCAACAGCTTCCAAGTAAGCAGCCTTCTCCACCGCTTTCCATGAGACTCAAATATGCCAAGACAGGTTTTCACAAGCCATGGGGCATCCAGGAACTGTTCAAAGTGCCCAGAAAGCAAGGCTGGATGTTAACTGCCCAGATACTGCAGAGGGGGGGGCAAGGTTTAGCTAGCAATTACTAGGCCGTCACCCTAGACAAGGAATTGCCAACTGCCTGTAATTGTTCCAGCAGCTGAGTCCCTCTTGGGAAACGAAGTGAGCACACCTGGAAATTCTGCCCAGAGGAGCTGAAGATCAAGGGCTCCAATAAAATTAATGAGCCAAAAGGAGATTGGCTTTCCAAGAAGCCTGAGAGAGTAGCAGAATCTGGTTAACAGTGGGTCCTTCCTGCTCTTTTTCTGTAGCAGAAAAGAGGGTTTCCTCTCCAGTTCTTACACCATCCTTTCCCAGGCTCAATGAAAATCAGAGGCTCTTTGCTGTCTGGGAGGGCCAGCTGCAGGTGCTATATCCCACCTTTGGTCACCAGCCTTTCCTGCTGCTTTCCACTGCTCTGGCACCAGCTCCGCCTCAGTATTAGGTGTTCTCATAAGGAAGCGTGCCTTGGCTCCTTCCATTGCTTGTAGCTGCCTTTCTCTCTCTTCTCAACCAGCAACATGGCTCTAGCCTGGCATTCTCTCTAAAAGACCTTTTTTTTTTTTTTTCAAATAAACCTTTTCCCCAGACTGGGTTGCTCCTGAAAAATGAGTTATTTTTTTTATAAGCTGCTGACTTCCAACCAGCATCTGTTTCAGTGATGTTTCCCGTCCTCTCTCCTCTCGGGGAGGAGCTCAGTCACACAGTGTTCCAGGGTGGCTAGCACAACTCCTACCCATACCGCAGCAGTCAGGAGGACAAAAAACACTAGGGAACAAACCATAGGGCAGGCACAAACTAGTACTTAGCTCATTTCAGCAAATCCTACCTGGAATGGTGTTATCCAGGATAAACCCCAGGAGTCCACCCACGAACATGCCAGTGGTGAGAAGCACCTGGATCACCTGGTCCAGCTGGATGATGCCTAGCAGAAAAACAAAGCATTGGGTAGGGGTGCAGCGAGACGCGTGTTTGACCAGCAACGCACCCGGGGCCGAGAGGCTGTAAGCTGTGTGCTTGTTTAGACAAGACTTGCCAATCCCAAAGTGGAGTTTAAGGTTTGGCAACGCAGGGAGATTGATCCCACCGCTGCTTTCAGACCTGCGCTTCTATTCTGCGTGATTACCCACTGACCCAGCTGCCGGTGGGCAGGAGGTGACTCGTAAATACATGAAGAGCCCATTAACAATGCTGCCTTCTGCTCCACATATGTTCTGCACCTCCCCAGCATAACACCAAGCAGCTCCCTACAAAAGCAGGAGCTTCAGTTCCCAGAGAAACAGGAATATTTAGCATGGGATTTCACCACAAGTTAATCAGGGGTGATTCTCCATGAGGGCTAATTGACATGAGCAAAATAGCCCAGTGACACCCGATGGAGCATCTATAGAGTGTGTAATCTGTTGGCCCAGCTCTTTCAACAGCCCGCCCAGCATGCCATATATACCTTGAAAGAGGACACTGCAGCCTGTGTGACAAACACAGCAGTCACACGAGAAACAATGAAGGCGTAACTGTTGGAGGACTGGAAATTTGAATAAAGTGAGCTTGATGGAATTTAGTAGAGGAGTCTGCTCTTGGGTTTTGGAAGCACAAAGTTTCATTGTGTATGAGCATGTAAGCAAGCCTCATTCACTGAGATCTTCATCAGGGTTCGGCCCTGGAGTATTCTCCTGCCCAAAGCTCCATCCCGGGAATGTGTCCTGAGGGGCAGCTCTGAAATTAGCCTGACAGGAATCTGACGAGGCGCAGTGGCTGATCAAGAGCAGAGATTTCCACGCCAGAGCTGTGCATCACAGCAAAGGGCAAGAGCAGCCCTCCCAGAAAGAAACCGGCAACAGTCAAAAAACACAAGTTTCAGGGCTTTATCAGGAAAAATGGCATTTTAAGAGATTTCTCAGGATCAGCCTTCACTTCAGTTTTATGTTACAGAAAACACTTCTGATGCTGTTTCTTACCTGTTTCCAGCAGTGTACTATTTTTGCTTGCCCAGTTGGGAACCGTGAGGCCGGCAAATACAGAAAATCCAAAGATAAAGATGTTTCTGGAGGAGTTCATATCTGTGTACTGCACAGAGAAATCGTATACATTGCGTTTGCAATTACCCAGATCTGTGGATTACCGCTGTGTCCACAAGACATGCGCGGACGAAAACACTGCCGGGCAGGGCTGGACCCAAGCAGCAGCCCTGGTGCTTCTGGGGCGTTGGTGACTCCGCTGCCCGCAGTGCCAGCAAGCCCTACCCCAAGCCAGGGATCCCTCTGCCATTTAGCCCCTCTGGGTACATTGCCCTCATCTTCACCCGAGGAACTGCCAACGCAAGTGTCTGCATGTGCTGCAGCACAGTCATGTCTGACTCAGCCTGGAAAGAGCCTGACAAGTCCCCTTCCCTAGGGATGACACAGTGCTGTTACCTGCAAATTGGAAATCCCCACGGCCGTGATGACTCCAAACATCACCAGGAACATGCCTCCGATCACAGGGGTGGGTATGCTGGCAAGCATCGCCCCGACCTTCCCGAAGATGCCGCTCAGGAGCATGGTGCAGGCACCGGCAACAATCACCATTCGACTCCCCACCTGGGGCAAGAGGAAGAGGAGGCAGTCACGCACTGACTGGTGCGGAGAGGCGAGGGATGGCAGGCTCCAGTGCCAACCTGCCGGGCAGGGGCTGTGCCTCTGGCCAAAGCACTCAGTGGCACATTCAGTCGCAGGTTCAGGTGCAGCCAGCGGGAGCTGGGATACTCACGCTGCATGGGAAGCATCAGCGTTTGCACACTAGTAAATATTTCTCATGAAAGGCACTCAGAACAATCATGGATCCACACCTATTTACTTGATGTTATCGTCTTTCCGACTGTTGTTAGGACCTTGACAGTTTGCTGTTACACAAGTTTATTATTGAATTAAGAGCACAGTAATCCCCATAGAGAGCTTTGTGTTTGCTCCAGCCCAGAAACGCCTTGGCAGCCCCACAGGCTGGCACTGCAACCACCCCGTCCTTTCGCTGGACAACCCTTCCACCGCAGTCTGGACTGCCACCTAAAAAGGGCTTTCAACTAGGTGTCCCACACCGATTCCTCCATTCCCTGGGGGCCAAGATCTAGGAGAGCAGAACTGGCCAGGCTGACTGCTTCAATCCCAAGCTCTGGGATCTGATACATCCTTTTCATGATCAACAAAAGGTTAATAAAAAGTGGGGAAGTCTCTTGGTCTGCCCTATCTCTCATCATCCATCTAACCTCAGTAAAACTATTTTCTTCTAATTTTTTTCCCTAGAAAGAGCCAGGGTGGCCTTTTCTTGGTTGGGCACTACAAGAAAGACTGGATGAAGCACCCAGCCATGCCTTTAATTCAGATCTGTTAAAGCATGTGAACGGCAAAGAAAAATAGCATCTGACAAACAAAGGGATGAAAGAGACATTTACAGACTACAGAAACTAAACAGAAAAGCAGCAATATTTATTAGACTTTCAATTCAAGGTACGCCTTGCTGCACCAAAACTTGGACAGCTTAAAGAACCATGCTAAGATTTACAACGTTCCTGTCTTAGGCAGGGAAATTCTGTAATCCTCTGCAAACATTTTATAATTCAATTAAATATTTTAATCCCTCTCTTAAAATATCTAAAGAATGGCATATTTACAGGAAGGGCTTTCTGTGAATGCTTTCAACAAAAACATTCCCAGTGACTAGGATACTCTCTTTTTAAGTATTCCTTAAACACGTCCCTTTAAAATATTTTCAGTCTTACTTGATTGTGAAAGATAAATGAAAAAGATTTGGTGTGGAGTTTCAAAATAAAATCATGCGTTGCCTTCAGGTGGGCTTTTTATATTCCTTGGCTTAAAACCTTGTGACACCTTTACCAATAAAACCGTAATTTAATAAAAGCCAACAGATCTATTTGTTCCAGGATTAGAATAAAGCTTCAGATTCTTAATTTGCCAAAATGTCAAATTACCCAGTACATAGAGTTGGCCTTAAAGGCAAATTAAGTAACCCATTGACGCCACTACTGTGAGCATATGCTACTAAAGCCTCTAGTTTAGAGTTTATTTCAATTGTGTCAGGAAAACAAGAAAATCAGTTCTCTTTTTTTAAGGTTGAAGAAACTGCATACTTTCCTGCTATGTATATGGTGACTCTGAGATCTTTACATCTTCTTAAAATCCTTCTCTCCTTTTCTTGGAAATGAGAGCTCAGTACTGGCATGCTGGGCTTGATCAAGGAGCTTAAACACAGGTGCCTGGTGCCATTTAACATGTTGCACCTTGGCAGCTTCTGGCAGCTTCTGCGTTGCCTTATCTGACAGCCCCTGTGGACATCTGTGCTGGGTTCAGCCAGGAAAGAGTTAACTCCCTTTACCATGGCTGCTAGGAAGCCGTGTTCCTGGATGCAGAGAGCAGCACTGATAAGGTCTTAGCTGGCACTGGGGAATGCCTGCACCAGATTCAAGGTCTTTCTCCGCTTCTGACACTGCAGCTGCATTCCCAGCTCTTGCTGTCTCGCTACAGGCAGGGTAGGGGGCACACAGGTCAGGCACCTGACCCAAACTGACCAAGGGAGTGTTTCATTCCATAGTATGTCATGCTTGGGGCAGAGGTGAGGAGGGGGTCTGGGAGCCATCACTCTCTCTGCTAACCCTCTTCCCGACTCCTGCATTAGCTGCTTTGCTAACTCCTGTGCTGGCTCCTTCGTGAGGGAGTTGGTGGGTTTGTTTAGTTTTCCTCGTTGTGCCGTTGCTGGTAGGCTTCACTCGGAATCTGCTGCAACAGCTCTCGGGCTCCCGGGCCGGAATTGCTTTGGGGCTGCAGCTCTTGGGCTGTGGCTCTCGGG